AATTCCACATTCCTATGACAAGGAGGGCGACGATTTATTGTGGGAATCACATATAATCAACGCCAGAAGCTTGAAGGGGAATGAAGGGGTCAAACCCGAACGGCGTTTGCAATCGCAAATTTCCCACCGAGTCAAAAAGTTCTGACCACAGAGCCACACCCGCATGAGCGTCGATGAATAATACACTTCATACAACACCGGACAGTTATTAATATTTGCCAACGGGAAGTCCAAAAATCCCCCCACCACCCCCTTGGAATAATGTAACCGCAACGTAATTATCATCTACTCCAAGTGCACGGATTCTGTGGCGAGGCTTTTACTCCCAGGAATTTGTCCCTCGGACGTATTTATTTAGCGATAATAACGGTAGCGATCGCGCCAGGTGTTCGCTCGGAGCAATTTGGCCCACAGGGCACGATGCGACAACAGGGCTTTTAATAGCAGCTCTGCCAGGGAGGGCACGGGCAACACTTTGATCAATGTGTCCAATTTTCTATGACCAAAGTCCCGAATAACAACGCAACTCTTTCTACTAAAGTTTAATTTATATTGGATCGTCTTCATGAGATTTTAATCATGCACCCCCCCCCACCCCACCCCCATCATCCCCGCGCAACCCGTGCGTGACAGACAGACTGACGGGCAGAGCGCACGCATTAACACCGTCTGCCTTGCTTTGGGGGGAGCGTTAAAAAGACGAGACGCGCATTGTCCCGTGGAAAATTCGAGGCATCCGAGAGAGGCACGCCTATCGTGGCACGCGCTCGATATCCGGTGACCGGCAAGCCAAGTTGCTGGATCACGCAGCGCTCCGAGATCCTCATCAATTTGGTCCGTTTGAGACAGTTTCTGCACATGTGCGCGGGCGGGCTTTCTCCGAGCGTCTTGGCGGTGCGGCGCGAGGCAACGCATCGAAACCGCCCATCAAAGTCGCCGCGCCCGCTTTGCCCCAGCGTGCAACAACAGCGTCTCGGCGGCGAGCGTCCACCCGGACTTACGGGAAGGCTCTCGCGAAGTGTGCAGGCTCGCACCGCCGTGTACACGAGGCACATTAACTGGAGGGGGGGGGGGAACGGCCTTATTAGCGTCCTCCTGGTGGCGAAAAATAATTAATAACCAGGGGAAATTAGACAAAAGGTCCAATTTACATATGAATGTGCACATTTGAGTTTCTTATGCAACGGCGGCTCGCTTTGCATGTCGGCGAGAATCTATTGCGAGAAAAATTGCTAATCTGAACATTTTTTTGAGAGCGCAGAGGTAGTCCCTACCCAATTAGTCCTGATTAGGGTGGTTCATCAACGTAGGAGCGCACGTGAGCACGCGCACGCACAAGCGCCACCGAGCCTAGCCGCACAATATTGATGGCACGCGATTAGAATCGAGATATGTAACGCACCATTTCAATACATCATCATCATTATCTCACAAGCCTGATTTATCGCATGGTCAATATTTCATGTAAATGTTGGGGTCAAGTATCGGCTTTCTTAATTGAGCTGGAAGCAAGCATTCGGCTAAGTGCCGAGTCACCAGGACCTCACACAAAGTTGGCCACGTCGCAAATGTGGAAAATTTCTAGCGCTTTTAATTCTTTTCATTCAATTGTTTAAATCTCTTCCACATCATTGCCGCACTTGCAAATTCTCACTCAGGTGCTTATTGGCTGGGGACAATCGCAGAACATTTTCGCTTCTGTGCGGACCGCCAATGCGAACCAAGATAGTGTGTAATTTAAATCTTGGCAAATGGTGTCAAACTTCCTTTTCTCCGAACAGACAACGCTGGATGAGCGGCGCACAATGCGTCCGGAGACAAGCAGGAAATGTATAAGTGGGCCATCTAATGACCGAGCAATTAAAGCACATTCTTACACTCATTATGCACGCATCAAATTGCGTGTGAGAATTTATTCTTTTATTATTCATGAAAATGTTATGCCAATTTTATAAAATTGATTACGATCTCCAAAAGCACTGTATCACTTGGGGGAGGAGGGGTTGAAAATAAATGCTTTGTGGGAACCAATGCATAAAATCGTGCAAAATAATCAAGGTGATATGCACGTTAAAACTGTAAAATCTCGACCGAATCATTATTATTTTACCAGGTAAGGCCCACTGAGCCACGCAGCCCTTTTTCAGAAGCGACCAGGCCACAAATGATAGCCCGACCACGTGGCAAATAGTCACGTGGAAATGTTTGTAGCACCCAAATACTCAAAACGCGTGATGCTGATTCTAAATCAACATGCGTTTTGTCAGAATCAAAGTAAACACTTTGATGCAAAGTAAATACTTTGATATTCGCAAAAAAGGTTACATTTTGTAGCTGCTCGCCCCGGGCTAGAAATGCTCTCTGATAGTGGCATTGCCTTTGTGCTGTTCACTTTTGGCGTTCCTCACTGGCCTGACGCTGGTATTGAGACGAGGCCCCAAAGAAGGCTGCTGCCGTCTCTGACGTAGGCCAATCGGTTTCAAAGACAATGCCCAGATATTATTATTAGAGCGATGTTTGTTTGCATGTTCACCACAAGTACTGTCTGTGGTCAATGCAGACTTGATTCCTTGCAAAAGGTTTCTATTCGGTGTTTCAACATCTTAACACCTAATTCGTTGCCAGAAAGAGTGAAACCTATTATAATTTTCCTTTTAATGATACTGGCAAAAAAGGTCCCATTTGGTAATTGGTTCCACGAAACCGGCCGTTAAGTGGTTTGGTTGTTATGCGAGTACTGTAGAAGTTTTCCTGAATGTAAACAATGCCCCAACACTTGTAAATGGACGTCGCTGATTGGCCGAGGCCTGGTCAGACCACTTTGGAGCTCGCCGATTGGCCGAAAATGGCGGTCGCGTGCTCGTCGTATGCCCGTCGTAAACAGGGGAATGGTCGGCAAGCGAACACATTGGGCTCTATGGAGGCACTACACTACTATACACTGTACACTACACTACTATACACTACACACTGGGCTCTATGGAGGCCTGTCGCTAAGTGATGAGTCGTTGACAGGGGCAGTCGTTAAGAGGGATTCTGCTATACGTCTGATAGCCAATGGCCGAGACTGGGAATGGAATCGGAGCCAAAGGAGGACATGCCCGAGAGGGCGACGGAGATGGAGCGATAAGATTGGCTCATGTGCTGCAGATAAGAGTATGGCATCCCAAGACTATGATGTGTATGTATGTATGTACGTAGCCAAAAGTGCTAATCGGTGGTGCAGAGAAATTATGGCTGGCAAATGAAATCATAATGGATCAGGGACACGATGCTTAGCTGGAAGGAATGATGATACATGGGCCAATAATAATAATAATAGACGGATTGTGTTGCCAAGGAAAGGCACGCGCCCGAGACAAGACTACCTTCACCGGCGAGACGGAGCAATTAAACAAATCATCTCGTCTGTAGTAGGCGCTAGGTAGTTAAGGTGCTATGTGGATTTTAACACGTAGGATCGTGAGAGATTGCATAGAGGTTTTGGGTAAGCCTTCATCCAGCAGTGGGTTGACCCTTGGCTGTTGATGATGATGATGATGAAAGGCTCCCGTTACATTTCCGCAAACGGAACGAACAAATGCACGAATCGGACGAGAGAAAAAAAAACGGCGAGGCAACGCAGAAGAAAATACGAGAAGAATAAGATTCTGACACGGAACCACGACGCGATTCAAATGACCGCGGGGTGTAAAAAATGTTGCGAGTAGGGAAGGCTCCATCACAGAAAGGTGTCCGGATGCCTCGCCACCCCCCCCCCCCCCCCCCCCGTCGACGCTCCGCACTTCCAGATCTGCCGCGGACAGAACTGCGTGGGGGCGCGCCGATGGGGGGGGGAGGGGGGTGAGACGACGGTCTCCGAGAGCACGGTCGCCGGTGACGCGAGGCAGAAGATGAGGCATTGATTCGACGCCTCAAAGCTGATGCCGCTCCTGCGTGTCGCGCCACGGAAGAGTTTCCGCGCTCCCGCCGCTCTCTCGCGCTTTTGGCCGTACGAACAACCCCCCCCACCCCGCTAGCGCGCCGCTGCCAAAGCAAACGCACTCAAGTGGCGAAATATGTTTTTTTGTTATCCGCGCTCGACGGCACCCTTAGCCGGACCCGGCTCGACAAGAGCGGGGGACAGTTTGTCCTCAACCCTGCAACGGAAATATTGTGGATTGCGAGCACTCGGTGCTCCGATATGGAATTAAACCCACCCCCCCTCCCCCTCCAGACGTGCTTCTACGGCCGTCTGGGAATGCTCTTCCTTCCGATATTCAGAAGCTCATGGGAGCTCTGTACTTTAAAATCTAGACTGAAAACGAAATTCTTTGGAACTGCTTTTTGCGTCTAAGTTTGTTGTTCCTTGCCCCTGCACCACTGTAGAGCACGGTTGACTACATACGGTGCGAAAGAAGTTCAACATGAAAACAAAGAAAATAAATCCCCCCGGATAGCCTTTAGCAGACTGTTGGGGCAAGTGCTGTTCGTGAGCACCTATGAAGGCCGGCACGTCACACTAGTGGGTGGCAAACACCACGCCCGGCCGCCTTTGTCTCCCTAGCGGCGATGTTTACACACCGCACCAGGTACTCATTTGAGGTCAAGTCGACCTAGGGGAGGACCAGGACCGGTTCAGATAATCGTCACTGGTGTTGGCCGTGAGCGGGAATCGAACTCGGGTCGCCGGGTTCATAGCGCAGCGCGCTAACCCACTACACGACCAATCTAGATTTGAAGTTTTCGTGACTGCAAGGATCCATACTCTTTGGTTCTTTCGGTAAAGTCACGTTGGTGAGAAAAAAAAAAATCGGTTTTAATTGAACTCTTATTTTTCACCTACGTGACTTTACCGAAAGAACCAAAGAGTACACTACACTACCGCACTCCCCACAACGCACATACGTACACACGTACCCCCGCGGCATCACCACCTTGACCGCGGCACAGCACGGGAGCCGTCGGCGCGGCGTGCTCAGGTGTGGGGGGGGGGTGGCGGGGAGGGGGAGGCTACTCACGTTGTCGTGCTTGAAGAAGCAGAGCATCTTGAGCTCACGGAAGACCCTCTTGCAAGAGACCAGGTTCTGGAAGACGTTGGGCATCTTCTTGAGCGCCACTCGCTTCCCGTCCCGTGGGTCGGTCACCGACCTGCCGTGGGCACAGCGCGCGCACACAGGGAACGTCAGCGACAGCAGCCACCCCCCGTGGCGCTTGTGTCGGGCGAGGTGCACGGGCTACGTGCGATCGTGTGAAGTGTGGGGAAGGATCGTTGGCAGGAGGTGACGGGGGCGCAGACCCAGGTTGTCACGAGTTAACCGAGCCCGACTCGCAGACAGAAGCACCGCGCGTGCTGCACACTGTTGCAAACCCCAGCACCGCCACCCCATCATCATCATCAACAACAACAACAGGGGTCCGCGGCAACGAACCGCGTGCAGTTTACCGGCATTGGTTCAAGCAAGGGCGATTACGCTGATGAGTACAACGAATGGCAAACCTGGTCTACGGTCCTTGCACTCAACCAATGTTTTAGGCAGAGAGACAATTATGCGGAGGCTTAAAGTATTGTGTTGAAGGACATGCACGTTAATTACTCCACGAAAAATATACTGCCAGGCCCATATCAGCCTCGGTTACACCTGCATCGTCACCGACGTCTTAAAGCGTCCGCGCAAACGCAACAACCCACAGTGCAATTCCGACTTGCACGAAGGTATTCCGCGTGTAATGAAAGAGGACGTTCGATTCAAACAAGGGGAGGGGGGGTTATGGTGCTGTGGGGGGGGGGTTAAATTATTACATGCAGAGATGCCTACAGGGAGACAAATGTAGAAGAGATAGGGAAGAGGCTCGAGAGTAGAGAGAAGTCATTTAGCATCCAAATTGGAGAGAAGAAGTCGCATTTAGAAGTCTCGCGTTCGGACTTAACAGGGGGTATGTGGCGGTGGGGGGGGGGGGGAGCCTGCGGTGAAAACGTTCAGAAGGTTGAAGAGTTTCAGACATCGGCAGTCGCAGAAGAGAGAACGGAGCGATCTCCCACCGAAATCTGAAATAACGAGATGAGCAAAACCGACACAGTGGGCCTTGACTGCTCGAGTGGAGGGGAAAGCAAGAGCGGGATTGGAGGGGAGAGGCAGGCTGGGCTGACGACGAAAGTACGAGTCCGCTGAGGATCTTGAAGAGGGCGAGGGCGATTTTGTGTTATTTTCAGAAATCGTACAATTATATTGGGGACCGGCGGAAGATCCTTGGGGTTCAAGGGTGACGTGGGCATTGTTTACGGGCACGGATAAAAATCACAAAAAAAAAAAAACTTCCCGTGACAAAGCAGTCTTCGTTGACGCTAACATCGTCGACGGTACGTGCATTTTAAATCAATAGGGGAGCAGGGGGGGTGGGGGTCCAATGGCACGGACACCAACGCGCACGCACGCTCGCTCGCTCCAATATCGCAAGCAGCAGCGATCGATACCAATAACAAGGTTAGATATTAATTACCGCGGGTTCCAAAAGTCACAACGCAGGTAGAAATATGAACACACACGGACAGATAACGACGGCAAAGCGTACTGACAAAGAGGCGATGTTGAAGATGCTGCAGTGGTGTCATCGGTTAGCAAGAAAACCGGACTTGCGATCCAGACGTCACCGGCTCGACTGGATCTCCCGGCGCGGCAGTTTGAAACAAAGGCGAGAGTTTCCTAAATGAACTACAGATTTTTTACTATATTTATTTTTACCTAGTAAAGTCCACTAAGCCGAGTAGCTCTTTTTCAGGAGCGACCTGGCCATAAATGACAGCTCAACAAAGTGGGCTTATCACGTGGTCATTCACAGCAGCCAAATAGCATAAACGCTTCATATTGATTCTAAATGCGGAGGGCAAAACCGGAGGACGCGGAGAAAAATCCAAACGACCACAGGGCGAGAGACAAGCAAACTCCAAACGTACAGGCGTCAGGGTCAGGATCAAACCCACGACCTCCTGTATACCAGGCGAAGTAGTTAACGTCTCGCCTCCACCCCTCCGTCCTCCCAGCAGCAGGTGCGGATGGAGACTGACGGTCCGTCCATCGGCAGCTCGCGTGTATTAGGACCAGAGTGTGGGTTACTCTCCCACCTCTCTCCCGAGGCATCTGGCCGGTGTGGAAGATGAGGCCAAGCACCCTGTAGAGGGGACACTCTGGAGCAGCGTGAGAGCTAGCAATTGCAGGGCTGCACCTAAAGCGTTTACATCCAACGTTTGCTCCATTATTACAGCCAAGTAAAACCGACGATGTGTGTGCGGTAAAAATATGCAAGAATCCAACTTGTGCCCCAGTCCCGCAGCACTGGGCCATGCTCTCCCCAAGGAATAGTTTCCATCTCTTAGCGGCAGTTAAGCTCAACTGGACAGTGCAGGGGAAAAAATATGTACATTTTACGTAGCACAAGATGTAACTCGGATGCTCAAAAGATGTTTTGTATTAAAAGAGAGGACGTTAAAAGTGCGTACACCACATCGTGCGTTCACTATTTATCAATCAATAACAGCCATCAGTAATTGTGAGTTTTATTGCTTTTCTCTCGCAAGCAAATCGATTCCCTCCCATGAACAACTATAAAAAGCTGCCTCCTCATACCAGAGCGGGGGAGTTTATTTTGGTACATCCATAACTATTGAAATATTAAAATGTGCGATTGTCATATTAGTATCCTGGGTTACGGCACAGAATGCCATTCCCTTGAAAACGATGGGACGTGAAATACGGAAACGACATCGCACATACCCGGCTCGCTGGGGACTCAAAAGGTATACGTGGATGTGTAAAAAAAAAAACGTGAATATCTGCACAAATGCTGCACTGCGGCGTGGGCGGTCAATGTGGTCAGGGCGGTTACGTTACGATTCGATATGCGACGTTACACTCGCGCGTGGAATCCACTCTCGTCGAGGAGATGGGCACGTCTAACGGGAAAAACGACGCCCAAGACAATCTGGACTGGAGAAGGCACAATTTGCTCAGCGTGCACACGACACGTGATGAGCTCCGTGGTGGATAAAGCTCCGTTCCGTTTGTCACGTGACTCGGGCAGGACCGCTTCACGTGAAACCAGCAGAATTCGCTCAGCGGCGCTGCAGATTTTTCGACGCGGGCCAAACTGTCTCGCTCATACTTTTTGGTTCTTTCGGCAAAGTCACGTAGGTATAAAATAAATAAATGAAATCACGACGTTTCGATTGCAACACAAGCAATCATCATCATCAGGTGGGAAAACCGCAGCAAGAGTATGGATCCCTGCAGTCACGAAAACTTCAAATCTAGATTGTCTCGCTCACTCGCTGTCGGAGCAGCGGGCACACCGCACGTGTCGCGGTAACTACTGCATGCGCTTGTGTGTCTGCTGGCGCTTTGTTCTGCAAGTTGCGCTGCTCAAGCCTTAGAGTGCACCTCATAACAAAAAAACTAAACAAATTTTTTTTTTTTTTTTTACCAGGTATGGCTCTACAGCTCTTATGTCAAAAGCGACCTGGCCACAACTGATAGCTCAACGAAGTGGGCTTCTTATCCTGTGGAAATTTATAGTAGCCTAATACTTTGAACACAAGACTATAATTGTGGAAGGAAACACCGGAGGACCTGGAGAAAATCTACGAGACCACAGGGAGAACGTACAAATATGTTGGCGCCAGGGTCAGGATCGAACGCCACCGTGGCGAGATCCGTTGCTGGTGGGTAATAAAACTGGCAGATGAGTGCCATTTTTGGGCCCATTTGATGATTTTTCTTTTGGTAGTTGGCAGGAAGGCACTTTCCATCAACAAGACAATCAAACCACTAACGGCAGAAGAGTTATCGCACTGAAAACATAAAACCTACCGTAAAATTTCATTAAAACGGTCATGATAAATGACTGCCCAATTATTCTTTGGTTAGAGTGGCAAATTCGCGCGGTAAAAGTAGCGTACGTACTTGCTTTACGTGTTTCATCACACTAGAAATGTTTTCACGACGTTGCATTTGTTTTTACCCAGGTTTCCGCTTGCAAATTAGATTGTTGTTTTAGAGGAGTTCTCACCCGATTATAAATATGAAAAAATCTAATACCCTTTGTTCAATGGCACATATCTGGGCTGAGGCAGCAGGGCCTTCGAAGTGTGGGTTGGTTTTCCACTCGCCATCTGCCGTGCCGAACCAGAACCAAACTGTGATGCGACATCGGAATCTGGCTCGGGGCCAAGCAGGGCCAGGGGAGGCCAATGACGCATTTTTTGCGTGTGACGTCGGTCGGCGCACCCGAGGACACGACGTCTCCGCGTCGTATACGACGCGCCGCTCGCAAGCGGCACGGTCCAAGATCCCGTAGTGGATAACAACCTGGCGCCTCCTGGATCGCACCAAGGGCTCGCTCGGCACAGCCCCGGTTGCGCAGTGGGGAAAAAGGGATGAAACGTCGTCAAGGAACACCTGTTTGCCACCTGAGACGAGTGAACGGGAAAAAAAAATCAGGGCAGGAAAACACGCGGGGAAACGACAACGACGTCCAATCCGGGCCGGCGCTAGGGGACGCAGCAGCCTTTGTGTTAACTTCGCTTTCAGCGCCAAGGAAACGTCTTCCATTGAAACTTCAGTCAACGCACTCACAAGTCTGCTTTTTTTTCATCCAGCGCGGACTAAAACGCACGGCAGATCCACGTGGCCATTTCGGTGCGCGTGCACCGCGCGTCCGAGCGGGTGTCTGCGTGTGGCCGATGTGCTAAATGCGACAGTTTGAGGTTGAATTCGCTGGCACGGCGCGGAGGAAGACGCGAAAGGGCGTGAGTTACTTTTAAGGCACCTTGGAGTGGGGGAGGGCTGCTTTTGACAAAGGGCCCGCTTTGAGTGAAATGTGTTAAATCGTCGCAATCGCCTTTGATGCGAACTTGCGGCGGCGGCGCACGCCCCGTGAGCCTCTTGCTGCTGTGCCCACAGGTGCAACGCTCTGTGCTCGTGAAGGCCCACTCCGGGGCTACACGGCGCATATTTTCACTTCAGGGTTTTTACCCCTTTCATGTCGATGGATTAAAGCTCGCCCACGGCTGGGCAATTCCTCACTTCGTGTGTGGTGCAGGGGGGGCCGAGAGGCGGGTAGGGTGGGGGCGGTTGGCAGGGTAGGTGGGCAGGATT